ATGGAGTACTACTCAGCCATAAAGAATGAGAAACTAGAGACATTTATAGCTAAATGGATGCATATTGAGGCCATACTCTTAAGTGAAATCAATAGGACACACGTGTAAATAACAAATAGTTTCTCTGGTTTGAGAAACTGAAAGTGTAAATAAGGATTAAAATGATGAAAACGAATAATTGATAATTTGAAATAGAAAGAAAAGGTCCACAGGGGTAGGGAAAGTGGGATGGAAAGGGGGAAGGAAAGAAGGGAAAGGAAAAATTATGAGAAAAGGAAAAAATGGAAACAATGTCTTTGTAAATAGGGAAGGGTGGAGGGGGTGAAGAGAGGACAGGGAATGGGGAAAAAATAAGAACCAAGATACATCATGTACAGGTACAAGTACCCAATGAGAAATATAAATTGTATTGTATAATAACAAATACTGGTGAGGCTGCAGGGAAAAAGGAATCCTTCCACACTGTTGGTTGGAATGTAAACTAGTTTAACCACTATGGAAATTAGTATGGAGATTCCTCAAAAAGCTAAACATAGAAATTCCATTTGGCCAGGGATTTAGCTCAGTGGTGCCACGCCTGTCTGGTAAGCAGAAGGTCTTGAGTTTGATTCCCAGTACAAAAAACAAAAAAGAAAAAATTCCATTTGGCCGATCTTATTCCATATTTGGTATCTTCCAAAAAGAATTAAAGACATCATACTACAGTGACACATGCATCACCATGTTTTTAGTACCATAACTCATAATAGCTGAGTATTGGATGAATGGATAAAGAAAATGTAGTATTTATAAACAATGGAGTATTATTCTGCCGTAAAAAGGATAAATTTGAATGATTTGTAGGAAAATGGATGCACCTTGAAACCATAATGTTGAGTGAAATAAATCAGACACAAAGCTTAAATATTGCATGGTTTCTCTGAGAAACCCAAAGTATAAATTAAGAGTAAAATAAAAGATAGATAATAGGAAACAGGTAAATAGAAACTCTGCAAAAGGGAAGAGTACCAAGAGATGGAGAAAGTTGAAAGGGAGGGAAGGGAAGCAGATAAAAAAGAATTACGACGTGTTATGTTTATGTTCCAACTCCTCACAACAAATGTAATCATTATGTACTGCACACGTACTAATAAAAAAATGGAATACAAAACAGTTCACAAATGAGTGTAATTTAATTTCCGATGTTAAGAAGGCCTTCACCTTCAGAAAAGAGGGAGGGGTAGTAAGTGAGATAGGATCCTGGGGCTGGCTGTATTTTGTCTTGGTTGGTCGGTGGTTATACCATCTTTTTTGTGTTTACATGTAAATTTCTTATGTATACATTTATATATTTGTCTATTTTCAATTCAAAGATTAAAGAGAAGAGAAATGACATAAAACATTAATAAAAAAGGTTAAATGGATGTCTTAACCTGTTTTCTGTTGCTATAGCAAAAACAGGTAGGAATGCTTTATAAAGAAAAGAGGATGCCAGGGATTTAGCTCAGGGGTGCTGCGCCTGCCTTGCAAGTGTAAGGTTCTAAGTTCTATCCCTGGTACTGGAAAAAAAAAATGGAGGTTTGCTTAGCTCACAGTTCAGAGGTTCAGGAGCATCGTGCTAGCATCTGCTTGGCTCTGATGAGGGCTTCACAGCAGACACCATCACAATGGCTGACAAGTGTGGAAAAGTGGCAAGTGATACATGTGGAAGAAGAATTCGGTGGCAGTACCAGAATCGTTTATGACAGACCATTCTCAGTACCTAATGCATTCCTCCAGACCAGTGTTCATTCATGGTGAAGCTCTCATTATCTAATTACCTTCTCCACTGGGCCCCATCCCTTGAAGGTTCTAGCAGCCCGATACCATCACACTGGGGACCAGGTTTCCTACAAATGAGCTTTTGGTGAATATAACCAAACCACATTCAAACCCTAGCAATGGGTATGACAACATGTGTAATGACTCTATATAAATAAAATATGTTTAGGAATTCAAGGATAGGATGATCCTTGTACCTCTAAGGGTCCCATTCTCCAGTTAGGCACTGAATAATTAGCACAGACAAAACCTACTGTAGAGCTGTCAAATAAAAACAGAATGAGCCAGAGCAAGGACCCGAGTTCGATCCCCGATACCCAAAAAAAAACCCCAAAAAACAGAATGAAAAGGAGAAGTAGTACTGAGCAGTGACTATGAGCACAAACTCTGCATCACGGAATCATTGAGATCTCACTTGTGACCCAAGGCCAAAATGGAATTATGTCTGGAATGTCAATAGCTGGCCTGTAGGCAGGAGAACTAGGCCTACTCAAATGATTTTTTCCTAGAATTATGTAGCATTGCTCCCAACAAGAAACCAGTCATATTGGATTAAGAATGAATTCTGATGATACCATTTTAACTGGTTACATCTGCAAATACTCTACTTCCCAATAAACTTACATGCACAGGCAGGTGTGTCAGGGCACCAACATATTTTGGAGGGAAGGGGACACAGTGTGAGCCACAACATGTAGAAAAGCTGAAAAACAGTACAATGACTACCCCATAACTACCGTTAGATTCAATAATTCCTTACATGTTGCCAGTTTTGCTTTTTCTATCAATCTGTTCTTTAAGCAATCATCTCTAAATACTTCATGATCCTAAATGACCACATTACTGTTATCATGCCTGTAAATAATTCCCTAATATCAACTAATAGACACTTGTAATGGGTTGTTTTATTCCACAAACTTATTTCCTTCTCCTTTCCTGTAAGACAATAATGTCCCCTGCCCTATAATTTTTACACTTGGCTGCTCTAACATACACAAATGTGGTTGGGAGATGCACACCACCCAGTGCAGAAGCCTTTCTTTTCTTTAGGAGACAAGGTCTCGCTAAGTTGCTAAGTTGCCCAGGCTGGGCTCAAACTTACCATCCTCCTGCCTCAGCCTCCCAGAGTGCTGGGACTACAAGCATGTGCCTCCATGCCTGGCTTCAGTGCAGAAGCTTTTCACATCTCTTCCTGCATTTGGGAACAAGAAGATACAGGGTTCAAAATGGCTACCTGCAGTAAAACCAATGATTTAAGGAAGAAATAAACTTTTAAAAAATGTACTGTAGATCACTAAAATTTAGGATTTATAATTGCAGATTTCTTCAGTGAATTTAAAGCTATTTTTTGTACCTTTTAGACAAGTATTTGGTCAAGACTTGTGCAATTCATTTGGTTTATATGTCTTTAAAATCACTTTTATTCTAAAATTCTAAAACAGTCCCCTACCTACCTTTGACTTCTTTTCTCCCTTCCTTCCTTATCCTCCTTTATCTTTAATGAAATATATTTTTGGGGGAAGCCAAGCCAATAATCTTATATGATGTACCATACTCTGAATTTGTCTGATTCTCTTCTCCTGATGCATTTTAAACATTTCCTCTTTAAGCCAGTACTTCTTGGTCTTGGTTGAACATTTACATCACCTTGGGAGCTCTAAAATACACCTGCAAAGGTTCTAATTTAATTGGCCTGCATGCAGCCTGGGAATTGGGAATTTTAAAAGTAGCTTCAGTTGGTTTTAATGTGTAGGGAAGATTGTGCATCATGGGTTAATGGCTGGGTCAGTTTTAGCTTGCAGTGTTGTGTTTGTCATGTTGTGCCACACTGGGAGCTCCTGTAGATGCATGTTATATCACTGTTAGTGGCACTAACTTTGAAGACTAGTGTAAGGTGAGCACAGTCAGGCTGTCCCTTTTAATTGTATGTTTTTCTCTTTGTAATCATCAAATAATCAGTGGGACAATATCACAACATTTGAGGAATACACTGTTTTCTATAAATCTTATAAGTAATGGCCACAATATCCATTAGTGATACTTGTTTGAATCAATTATCCCACAGATGTTTAACAAAGGCTTCCTTTCTAAATCTGCCATTTTGTTATTAAAATATCCAGCACTGTTTTGTAAAAACTTTCTCTCGTCAACTGGGGTTGAACTATATATATTCCACATAAAAAGGTAAGGCAAATCCCTAATCCTTTCCCTATAATCAACTTTCAGAGTAAGAGGTTAGTGTGATAATCATCTCCAACTGCAGCAGATGAAGTTTTGCTTTCTCTGAGTGTTGTTATGGAGGGGTGGTTATTTATTTATTTACTCAATGTAGTTTTGTGTGTGTTGCTTTGTTTTTGTGGTATTGAGGATTGAACCTATGGCCTTAGGGGTTAGCTACATCACCAGCCCTTTTTTAAAAATTATTTTTTGAGATATAGTCTCACTGGGTCACTAGATTGCCCAAGCTGGGCTTGAATTTTCAATCTTTCTTCCTTAACCTCCCACAGTGTTAAGATTACAGGCCTTTGCCACCATGCCTGGCTAGTTATTCTTATTGATCCTCAAATTATCTCAAATGTGGCCAGTGGGAGCTTCTTCAAGTTGGCTCATCTTTTTACAGGCCCTCATTACTCTCTGCATTTATTTTCTTTCTGGTACAACATGATGTCCCCAGCTCACCTTAAATTTTTTTCAACAGAACTTGAAGCTAGCTATTTCTCCAAGGAGTTACTTAATGAGGAATGGTATTTAGAAATTAAGGACTGGATGCTTATTACATTAAGGGCATCATTTCTTCTCTGCCCAATAGACATACGTGGGAAATTCATTTTTTAAAATTATGAATTCATGCTGATAGGTAAAATTTAAAATTGACCTGATGGCCCATCACAATGGCTCATGCCTGTAGTTCCAGCTACTCAGGAGGCTGAGGCAGGGGGATCACTTGAGGCCAAGACCAGCCTGGGCAACGTAGCAACAGCCTGTCTCAAAAAAAAAAAAGAAGAAGAAGAAGAAAAATAAATAAATAATCACCTGATGAACGTAGTGTTCCTAGAGGAGATAGGATTTGATTGTCTCTTGGTTAGCTTGGAGACAAGAGGATGAAAAAGTAAATGGTGAGTAATAATAAGTTATTGACTTCAGGAAGAAAGGAAAGATGGCATACTGGTGGATTTATGACTCTCTGGATATACGAGAAATGACATAAAATATGTGAAGTTTGAAGTTGGTAACTGTTCACCACAAATCTTCCATATTGTTTACTATATATTTTTCCTGAGGATAAAAAATGTAAATAGGTATTAAATTCTCAGTCACACAAATACGTGGATTGTATTGTTACCACTTTATACTAACAACAAATCAAACATCTTTGCCTCTTTAATGGTGGAATTTAGTACATATGTTGGAATATTAGGGGTCCATTTTTTCTTTTACAAATTGCATTTTGTACTAATCAGTGGCATTGGAAAATAATCCAGCTCGTTGGAAAAAATATAAAAATTGTACAAGCGACAGATTCTGGTTTTATGTGTTCCGTTTGAATTTATATACACAAAGAGAAGGAACCAGAAAAAAAGCTAATGTTAATTCGGTATATCCATATTTCTACAGTGAGTTAATCCTATTTAGAAAGAGCAAAAAATTCACAGCTATTACTTTCAAACTTGGTCAGAAAAGAAGGTTTAAAGGCCGTGAGAGTGACTCTTTGAAGAATGGGGAAAGAAAGGAGAGCTACCTGGACAGTATGAAGGGTAGGTCCCTCTGTTTTGAAGAACACTAAGAACGATAAGGAAAAGCCAGAGAGCTGACGACCTCCATTCTGGCTAGAGTGGCCACGCAGAGCAGCAGGAACTTCCGGGGCGGGGCTACCTAGGCCTCTGCCTTCCGTCGGTGCATGTGGGCTCCCTGCTCCCTTAAGATTCGGTATTGCTTGGCCGCTACTTCCGTCACTCTGAGACGGTGCCTGAGATTGGGAGTGCTCATGGCAAAAAGCAAGTTTGAGTACGTGCGGAACTTCGAGGCTGACGACACCTGCCTACCTCACTGCTGGGCAGTAGTGAGGCTGGATGGCAGGAATTTCCATCGGTGAGCTAGCTCAGCAGGGCACCACGTGATGTGCTGGCGCTTCCGGGATCCGACACCTTTGCTCTCAGCCCCCGTCCCCTCCACCGCGTGGTTACCAGAGTAATGCGGCAGCCAATGAGCGTTTTGCATTGAGCGTCCCGCTGCCGGCTGCTGTCTGGGCTTGCATGCCAGATGGTCAGGGTAGTTAAAAGGAGCAGTGTGCGCCCCTAGTAAGGAGCTTACCTGAAGGGCCCCATTTAAATGATTGGGGACCAGACTGCAAGGACCTGGGGCCAAAGGAGGATGAGGAGGGCTGGAAGAATCGCTCCCGCATTCAGTACTTAAACCCAGGACAGCCTTGCTATCCTGCTGGGTATCTTTGAGTGCTGTTTAAAGGTCTGTGTAGGCCCTGCAGTGGGCAGCAATATATAGTATGCCCTTGTTTCACTGCCAGTAACAGAATAGATTCTAAAAAGAGGAAAAACAAAAATGAGAATTTAATTTTTAAGGGCTACTACTAATAACCATGATAACATTTATTGAGCACTTAATAGGAACCAGGCATAATTATCTTTTTTTTTTAATCTTCCCTTCGTCTTCAGAACAACCCAATGAGGTAAATACTGTCTCCCCAGTTCATAGAAAAAGAAATTGAGGGGTAGCAAACATGTCCCTTTCTTAGAGTCAGAGTAAGAAACTACATTTCTTAAGGAAATGGATTGGGTTATAGTTAGTAGTAGTAGCATTGTTACAGTGTTTTCCTCTTAGAATCACCTCAGTGGTCTGTGTGGTTAATGACTTTTCCATCCACACCCTTTTCCCTCTTCTTGTTCTATGAAGGTTTGCTGAGAAGCACAGCTTTGCAAAACCCAATGATATCCGTGCTCTCCACCTGATGACCAAATGTGCTCAGACTGTAATGGAAGAACTGGAAGATATTGTGATTGCATATGGACAGAGCGATGAATACAGCTTTGTGTTCAAGCGGAAGAGCAACTGGTTTAAAAGAAGAGCCAGGTAGTCCTATGGCCTGCTTCCTTCCTTCAGAATATTTCCTGCCAGCATCTGCTTTTCTGTTCATATTGGCTTATATATTACGAACGATGTCTGCAGTATTTGCAGCTGCAGGGTGAATGTATATTTCCTGTTTAGACTATATTCCTTGATCTGATACTTGAGCACTGTGTATACTTTCTTTCACTCATTCTTTACCTTCCATGCCCCATCAGCTTAGCTTCTAGACTGACCTGGCATCAAGCATTTAGAATAGAAAGAGACCATAAAAAAGTAATATTAATGACTCTTAGGTTGGCTTTAGCCACTGTCAGTCTCTACATTCGTTGCAATATTAAACTTTTACTGACAGAAAATCTCAGTATGAAGTGTATAAATCTGATGTTTAATTTGGCAGTATTAAAATTCTTATTAGGACACAAAGCATGTATTAGTGTGTTTTTTTAAAGGAGTGGTTTCTCTTCTTCCAAGACTAAGAGCAATAAAAAAAACAAAAGGGTCAGGGATTTAGCTGAGTGGTTCTGATGTCTGCCTAGCAAGCGCAAGGTCCCTAGTTCTTTCCCTGGTACCCAAAAAAAAAAATTCTTAAGCCAAAAATTTACATCATATCCTAAAGAGAAAAATTCTGTATTAGCAAATAACCAGAATAGCAGGTTAAAATGCATAAACAAGATATTAAAATAGTTTTTCTTAGCCAAATGTATTTTATCTCTTGGCATTTTGGGAAGTTTGTGTAACCTCTCTGTGGTACCCACAGACCCTATATTGGTGTTGAATTAATATACATTTTTCTCTTTTCTTGTTCCACCCAATGTACTTTGTATTTGCAAGTAAGTTCATGACTCACGTGGCCTCCCAGTTCGCCTCTAGCTACGTGTTCTATTGGCGGGATTATTTTGAGGATCAGCCCCTTCTGTATCCTCCAGGCTTTGATGGAAGAGTTGTGTTGTATCCTAGCAACCAGACCTTAAAGGACTACCTCAGCTGGCGGCAAGCAGATTGTAAGTGGCACCAAATAAACAGATTTAAACCACAAATTCTGTGAATTAAAGGTGTCAGATACAGGTTTGCTAATGTGTATTTTGTGTGAAATGCAGTATTTTTAACATCAAAGAGGTGTCAATACTGAGTCTGCGTTCTTAGTATCAGGCACAGCCTGTGCAGTGGCCTTTATACATACATGCACACATGAGGCAGTCTCCCACAGTCTGTGGTTCCCCTGGGGTCATGCACTGCTTTATGCATTTATATTCCTGATAGCCTCAGTAGGTATTTGTGTTGTGGTCCCTCCTTTAGATTTCTGTGATGATTTTTTTTTTTTTTTGTACCGGGGATCAAACTCAGGACCTTGAGCTTGCGAAGCAGGCAGTGGCACCACTGAGCTAAATCCCTGGCCCATGTGATGATGTTTGTGTAACTTTTACTCATGTGGTATATTTTAATTTTGCCAGAATGACTGGAAAAGAGATTGGAATAATGTTAGTCAAATAACTTTGCAAGTATTTCTAAAATTAGCACCTAAGTTAACAGATTTGTGTAAAACGTAAATGAAATGACCAAATAAAGCTGTTATTAGGCCTAAGTTTTTTGCTGCCTACTCCTGCCTCTTTGTTCTTGTGTAGGACATTGAGTAAATCAGTAAGTGTCTGTGAGATCTTCAGAGAGGAGAGGCAGGACTCCTTAAAGGATGACTATTGAACAAAGATTCTGTGTATGTAAACTTTACTGTGTTGTTCTCACAGGTCACATCAATAATCTTTATAATACAGTTTACTGGACACTTGTACAACAATCTGGATTAACACCCGAACAAGCCCAAGAGAGATTAAAGGTATGAAGATTTTATTATTTAGCTGGGGACAGTTTGCGGTAGTGTCTCCCATTAACATTTTTTTAATGTTCCCTTTATAGCTTGAAAAGATATAAAAATTATATCTGCTGCTTGCTTGCTCTGTAAGCCTGAGTGAATGACTATTTCTCCCCAAGCCTCAGTGTCCTCAGCTGGAAAATGGACTCACGGACACCGGCTCTGCATTCTCACCCGCTGACACTTGGCTCTGACTGTGTCCTGAGCGTCCTTTACACAGGGCCTGTGCTCTTCCTTGTCACTTCATCAGTTCTCTGTCCTGTTTCTTAGGTTTCGAACCCCTGTGTATAATAAGAGTCCCTGCCCTTTCTGGGGTCAGGCCACAATATAGAATCATGCTTCTGTTTCATTTTCTCACTCTCTGCCTTGGTCTTTATAAGTCAAATGTAGAAAATAATAGTTCCTACCTCATAGGGCTATGGTGAGAATTTAAAGGCACGATGCACATAAAACACAAAAGTAGGAGGCACACCGTAAGTGCATTAAATACTGGTGTTTCTTACCAGATCACATGCAGTTTGTGGGATGAATGAATGAAGTGAGGTAACATGTAATAGCTCCTAGTCCAATACCTGGGAAATTATATTTAGTCAGTGATTGCTGTGATTAGTGGAACTAAGGATGAAGACATACACAGCAACAATTGGAATACTAGTAGATATATCCAGTTTGATTCTTAGTAGAAGAATAAAGACAGCCTTCAACCTTGGGTATTTTGTGTAATCTTCCTAAGCTTCAGTCTTCTCATCTTTAAAATAAAGATGGTATAGTGATAAAATGAGAAAAATGAACATAAAGTTTATGTGCATACTAGATATTAATTACTATTTGTTCCTTCAGCCTCCTCACAGCCTTTACTTACAAAGCCACCATTTGCTACAGAAAATTTTGTGAATGTGGTTATCTAAATGAGACTCGAATTGTACTTAAAATGAAAATTCATTAGTGTAAGATGTTAGGTAGCATTCTTCCACATCTTGACTTGTTCCTCGATGTTTAGATAGTATAGAGAGACAGCATTAAGATGGTATACGAACCTTTTTATATCGATTGCTATTTTTCCAGGGAACTCTTGCAGCGGATAAGAATGAGATTTTGTTTTCTCAATTCAATGTCAACTACAACAACGAGCCGCTGATGTACAGGAAAGGGACTGTGTTGATATGGCAGAAGGTAATGCTGTTGTGTTCAAAGGAAAATGGGGGTCAGGCAGAGAGAGAACCTGTATCCATTCCAGGCATTGTCTTGCCTGCTAATAAGGCTCTAGTCACTGACATGAGCTAGATCCTTTCAAAAGGGTTAGTTTGGATGCTGACTTTGTCATTTGTAGTCTAGAATTTCCCATTACGTAGATGTAAAGAGTACAGAATTTAAAATGAGCACTTATCTGTGTGTCATAAGCTCTCCTCATATCAAGTATGCCGTTCTTTTAAACGGGTACAGTAAAGATGCAGGGATTTTTGCATTCATAGAACATTTAAAAATACTTTCTCCCACACTGGAGAATATCATTAAATGTTTCATCCATCCATGACAACTATAACGAAGCAACTACAATGAAGCGCTAAGAGATGTTATATGTGAGGGCTCTGTCACTTTCCAGAGTCTCCATTCACAGTTACCTTAATATTCTGTGATGAGTCTTTGCATTTGCTTAAATCCTTAATTCTACCATAATTTTCTCATCAGCTTTTGGTTTAATTATTTTTCTAAATTCATTTCCTTCTCTGTTAAATGGTTTTTTCTGAAATGCATGTTTGCAAGTACTAAAGGGTATGTGGAGAGCTAGTCATTCCACTGGCGACCTCAGCTGTCATTAATACAGTATTTTCAAAACATATTTGTTCTTTGGGACAGACTTGGACACTTGTTAATGCAAGTGGGAGAAAAGAAATACCTTTAATTCTACAGTCATCACTAATGAGGAACATAAAATCCGTTCTTTGTTGCCAAGGTCACTTTTGTCTTTTTCTTTTTTGAGATAGGGCCTTGCTAAGTCACAGAGTTGCTTGGACTAGCCTGGAACTTTCAGTCCTCCTGTCTCAGCCTCCCAGGGTGCTGGGATTACAGGTGTGTGCCACCATGCCTGACTCCAAGATCCCTTTTCAAATTATAGTAACATAACCTTTTTTAACGTGTTTGTGATCATAAAGAGGCTGGTGCCTGTTGAAAATCTGGCAGGCAGAAGTGTATAAAAGTGAGCTTCCTCCACGTCCTCTCCTTCTCTCCCAAACTCACTGTCAAGTTAACACTGTCACCACTCTTTACCTGTAGGTGGATGAAGTCACAACAAAAGAAGTTAAGCTGCCAGCAGAAATGGAAGGAAAAAAGATGACAGTGACCCGGACCAGGACAAAGCCAGTGCCTCTACACTGCGATATCATTGGAGATGCTTTCTGGAAAGAACATCCAGAGATCCTCGATGAGGACAGCTGAGCCTTCACTCTTTAATTCTGGCGTGCTTGACCATGCAAGGCCTCCCGGGTCTCTTCTCTTAGGTGATCCTAGCTTTCATGCCACCCAGGACACTGTGCCGGGCGACATGACTCAAGATGGGAGGGAACAGGGAAGGAAGGAAGGAATAGGGTGATGCCTTTTGTTCTGCTTCAGCAGAACCCCCTTTTTGTAATGCTAGAAAATGACTGCTTTGGGTTTTTTTTTAATCGTGGTACTATTTTTATAAAGCAAGAACTGTTTCATGCCTTGCAGGATGAATAATTTTTAGATTGTGACATAAGACTTACAAAAACCTGTCAGCTCTTTTCATCTATGATAGAAGAGGAGCCCAAACTTTACTCTCTCCCACCTGCTCCTAACTAGAGAACCCAGTGATTTTGAAAAACCTCACATCTGCCACCCATGTACTTGCCTTCCTCTCTGGAAGACCGAAAGATAAATATGGGTTCACACTTATATGAGGCCTCTGAACTCACAAATCCCAGGGGAGACGCGGGGCTTTGTGTCAGTCTCCAAGTTCCCGACTTTGGCTGAACAAATAAGTAGTGGTTTGGATATCCTTGTGCACACATCCCATGCACTGATTTTACGGAATTTTCAGCATGATGATGTGATCTCGCCAGGGCCAGAGTTTCCAAGGCCTTTTTCCAGGCAGAGGTGTATATCTGTATGAGAGAAAGAAACTGTGTGAGAATGCATGCATGAGGGTGAAAAAACATTTACTCTGTCCTCTTGACACTTTTAAAAGCTGTCTTCTTGTTGGACTTCATGAAAGAGATTCTCAAGTAGCCTGTATATAATCAGAACAGTGAAACTTGAACTCAAGAGCAGAGGGCTCAGCATGCCTCTTGGGGTTCCAGGTAGCAATGTCAGGGGAGTCAGTAGCTCCACGTGTGAGAGGAACAGCAGAGAACAGCAGTGTTAATCTCATGTTACCAAGCTGTTGGACTCTGAAGCAGGAGGTCATGGGCTTGTGGTGCCATAACTCCCATTTCCTCCTGTCCTTGTTTTGTATTTTAGAGGAAAAAGATTATTTGGTTCTATTAAGAATCACTTAAGAGACAGCCCACGTCCCAGTGCCTGGTCTTGGATTGCAGAATTTATAGCCAAGAAGAAAATGTATTTTTCAAAGAGCAACGGCTGGCCTCATCCGTCACTAATTGACACCCCATCTGTCGATGCCATTTTTTTCCTTCCTGTTTTCCCCCACTCCACAGGAAGAGGAGATACAGCTTGTGTTTGGTAATTGCTAAAACCTCTTTGAGAAAAAAATAAGGACTTCAACTGCCTGGGGCTACTTACTCATTTATTTCATAATACAAAAAATACAGTATGTAAGTCTTAACTTTTGTGTCTGTCTTTGGGTAAGCCAGGATGTATAAACCCTCATTACGAGAGGTTCACACACCTACAGATTGGAAAAAAAATTACTTGGAATCTGTATTTTAAATGCCCATTTGAGGCTCCTTGAATATTTGGGGCTCAGCAGTCTGACGTTTTACCCCAGAGGCTTTGGGCTGCTGATACATATGGTTGATAGATAACTCCTTCAACAAACCAGGCCCTCAGTACACTGACAGGCCAGATGAGCAGTAAAATAATGTAGCTCTTGGTTGGCAAATTTCACTTAAAGGTAAACTGATAGCATTTTATATCAAATATGTATTGCCAAGTAGACATTAAACTACAAAGTTCCAGGACAAATTCACCCAGAGGAAATGTGTGCTTTCTCTGGGTCTCATGGGATACTATAAAGCCCATCCTTTGATTTGTTATAAGATGGGAAGATAAGTACTCATCTGAATTCCTGGCAGTTTTATAGCTTTGAGTTCTGTTCAGGCAGGGGGTTTTAAACAATAATAAATTGGGTTTAGTACCAGTGTCATAAGGAAACTAGTAATAACATTAACTAGAAGCTGTGGCTTGCTAGTTATTTTATCTTTGTGGAGATAAGTATTCATTCCAGTGTGTAATTCACTGTTGTACATTAATTTTTATCTTGCTCTCTAAGGTACTGTACAGTATTCTCTGAGTGTTCTTTTTCCAAGTCTCCAGGAAACAAATACACAAAAAAGCACCCAGTAGAGTTCAAACTAGTTGATAGTTGTGAGAGCGCTGGCAATTAGAAAAGTGATTTTTGCGGTTTGTGTTTGCAAACATCTTGGCCCTGTTGGATACGGAAGTAACACTATCTAGAGGAGACTCATTTAACATCAAAAACCAAATGTTTTGCTGAACTGAAGCTACAAAGTAAAAACGCACGGGTCAGATCTTGTGAATCCTCAGCGCCTCCAGTTTTTAGCAGTGCGCAGAAAGTAGCAGTAAAATTTTTCATTGACACTAAGGTCTATCATCAGTGCAAATTTCTTTATTCATAGGTAAAGGAAATAAGGATGCTGCAGAAAAGCCCAGAGAGGCTAAATAACTTGGGCCCAAGAAGGCTAAGCCCATCCCCTGCCCCAGTTCTCAAGTTGAAAGCAAGTCGAGGCATTCTGCCCTTCCCCTTCCCTCCAGTTCAAGCTAGGAGTAGGTTGCAGTACCAGTGAGCAAGGAAAGGCCCAAGGATGTTAACCTACCAATCCCGGATCCACCCCGGGGAGTCTGGGGTATTAACAAACACGCCAAGTGATAACAGTACGGACGGGGAAACACTGCATTAAAGCAGATTTACCCTAAGTCTGGCGTCAAGCTGTTAGCGGGTCGCAGCCACGCGTCACGCCCTCTGGCAGCGCGGCTAAGCGCGGGCTGATGCCGCCCCCCGGAGGCCGCGCCGGCGCAGTGCTACCCGCGCCGCGGCTGCGCAGTGCCGCCCTCTGGGGGCCCCCGCTCCTTCCTCCCATCGGCCTCAGCTTGCGGGCCTTTCAAACATGGAGGAGCGGGAGCGGGGGGCGAGGTCGGCTCGCGCCGGGAGCCCCGCAAGCCCGCCCAGCCCGCGGCTGGATGTCAGCTCAGACAGCTTCGACCCGCTGCTGGCCCTGTACGCGCCCCGCCTGCCTCCCATCCCCTACCCCAATGCCCCCTGCTTCAACAACCTGGCGGAGTATGAGAGCTTCCTCAGGACCGGCAGCCGGGGCGGCGGGCGCGGGCGGGCG